AAAATAAAAGAAATAGGGGATTCCTAAGGCGTGTCTGAAGATTGGGAGGAGTAGGTGTCCAGGAAATAAGAGTAAAAGCTTTAAAAACAAAATGAAAGGTAAAAACACCAAAGGGAGTGGGCCTAAGAACTCCCAAACTGGTACGATTAAGAAGCTTGTGTCACAGGGAAATGTTACCCCAGAAAGATCTCAGGGAATAAATGAAAAAAGTGAATTGGAAATAAGTCTGGATAATAGCCTGAGACTTTCCCTGGGCCCGGTATATAATAGTCAACAATTAATGGAAGGCACTGACCTGAGAGATCGTGAAAGAGATATGCAAATACCTAATAAAAAAGAAATGGCGGAGATGTTTAAAGGCTTGGAAAAATCAATGAAGCATGAAATGGGGATGATTCGGGAAGAAATGGGACAATTGTTAACTAGGGTGGAGGAAATGGAGGAAAAAGTGCAAATTTATACCCAAACCATCCCAAAATTAGAAAAATGGATACTAGAAGATAGAAAAGAACAAAGGAGATTGCTTTATATGATGGAAGAACAAGAAAATAGAGAAAGGAGAAATAATCTCAGAGTAAGAGGAGTTCCGTAACTGTTACAGGGGGAAGATTTAAAAGACTTAAAAGAGCTAATTGGCAAAATTTTGAACTCCATAATGGATAAAGCGGATGAGGAGATGTTTAAACTGGACGGAGTATACAGGATTGGGAAGTATCAACAAGAAAAAGAGATAGAAAAACCAAGAGATATAATTGTTAAAGTCCATAACTATGGAGATAGAGAAGAGATATGGAAAAAGATTAAAGGGAAAACAAATATTACATATGGAGAGAAAAATATTCAAATTTTTGCAGACTTAACATCAGAGACTCTAAGAAGGAAGAGATCACTGAAACCCCTATTAGAAGTGATGAAAAAACATAGTGTGAAATACAGATGGGGCAGTGATACAAGTTTAATCGGGTGGAGGGATGGAATTACATCTTAAAATTCCCGGAAGATATGGAAGATTTTTGTGATAAACTTGGACTGCAGAGACAAGTGATACCGGGTTGGGAAGTGGAAGAGGGAGAGATGGACACTGGTAGATTAGGAAAATGGCAGTTGGTTAAAAGAGTAAATAGAGAGACAATAGATAAGGGGACACTGGGGAGGAGGGGGGGAAGGTGAGCGGTCATAGGCGGAGTCAAACCCCTATAGAGGGATCAAAGGTGGAACATGATCCAAAGGCAAAGGAGGCCTGGGAGGGGGAGGATGTCAGGGAGGGGGGAGGGGAAGGGGGAGGGGTATGGTGAGGGATGGGGATAAGGATGGTATAGGGGGAAGTTTTTAAAAATACTCTGCATAGGGAGGAGATGTATACAAGAAATATGGAAGATATAAAGTTTATAACATATAATGTAAAGGGGTTGAATAGTCTTGGGAAGAGATTTAAGCTATTTAAGGAGTTGCAATATAGAGAAGCTTCGGTAGTTTTTTTACAGGAGACACATTTTGAGATTAAGTCAAATATTAAATTAATCACCAAAAATTATCCAACATGGTTCTATGCAGACTCCCCAATTAAGAGAGCTAAGGGGGTGGCAATTGGGTTTGCTAAAAATGTAAGGTGGGAGGTAGAGGAGAGACAGACGGATCCAGAGGGGAGATTTTTGTTTTTGAAAGGTAGATTGCAGGAAATAGAGTGTACAATAGCGAATATATACTGCCCAAATAAGAGACCAGAAGTATACCTGAAAGGGATATTAAGAAAATTGATGGATTTTAAAAAGGGAAGACTGATAGTGGCGGGAGATTTGAATCTATGCTTAGATCCACAGATGGATACAACTTCTCGTGTGCAACGAGAGGTAGGTAGGTCTATGAGGACCTTAAAAAAGGAGATACATGAGGGCCAACTAGTGGATATATGGAGAATAACGCATGGAAAGGTGACAGCCTTGCAGATCTGAGAAACAATGTCTGATGCTGAAAAGCTCATGAAGTACTAATAGATCTCGTAGAGTGTACCTTAGTGGGACAGAGGAACCCTATCCTTCAGACATCAGATGATAATTTCTCCAAAACAACTATTAATGGTGATGAAGAAACAGGGAGCTTAAATCCAATTGCCTAAAAAAGGCAGAGGCCAAGACATTTTCTCAAACAGCACATACCATGTCAAGACAGTGGAGAGAAATTTCCTTGGGATGTTTTGGAATATGACATAGGGAAGGAAAGAAATTGTCCTGGTTAAGGAGGAAGGAAGTGACCACCTTAGAGAGTGAAGAGACTCTAGGTCTCAACTTGGAGGTTCTCTGTATAGAGTTGATAGCAAGGCCACCAAGCAAAATTGGATTTCCACATGCAGTGGTAGACTTTCCAGGAGCCTGACTCCCTAGTCTTCAAGAGGGTAGGAATAACCGAGTCTGACAAGCCCTTATTCCTGTTGAACAGGGCCTTGATAGCCATGCCATCAAAGCCAGCAACAAATAAGCAAGATGGTGTACCAGCCCTTGGAACGGAAGGTCTGGACAATTTGGAAGGACACATGGGAAGTCTGCAGGCAGCCCAAATATGACTGAGTTCCATGTGCTTATGGACTACTTTATTGTGATGAGAAATACAAGAATTAACTATATGTTGATCATGCAATCCAGACAAGGGAGGATCTGGAGAGGAGGAAAGGTTAGAGAAAACTAATCTCACAGCATAACTGCAAAGGCTTAAGGGTCCCAGGACATGGCAGAAAACTTCAGTTTGTTTTGCATCTGGACACCAGAAGATCCATTTCGATTCAATACTACTTGGATGGACTTTCTATGTTCTCCCTGTGATTGAGTTGTTTTCCTCCAGGTAATATGATTTCCTCCCACACTCCAAAGAAATGCTCATAATTGAATTGGCTCCCATCTAAAATTGGCCCTATTATCAGGAGCATAACTACAGGGGTCACAATTGTGACCCTGTCCTATGCTCCAGGGGCCTGTGTGGATTCCCTGTACACCTGGATAGGAGGGGCAGTGGGGGAGGCATATAAAGGAACCACTTCCCTCCATTTTCCTCCTTCACCTGCTGAATGCCCGCTTCGCCTCCTCTCCCTCCTGCAGGCATTCAACGGTTGCTGGAGGAATATGGAGGGGGTTGGTTCCTCTATATGCCGCACCCACCACCCCTCCTATCCAGTTTCTTTCTGCTGTCCCTGGGCCACTGTGATCTCTCCCAGCCCCCTGTGCTCTCTGTTGCCCCCCCATGCTGTCTCCCGGCCCCTCCCTTGTTTCCCGCAGCTCTGCTGGGTCCCCCCAAACTTTTTCCAACCAGCTGTTGCAGGGGATGTGTCAGGATGAAGAATGGGGTAAGGGGATAGTAAATATGTAATTTACTGGCCCCTTCCTTGTCTGAATGGAAAGAGTCAGTGATCAATAATGATCACTTACTCTGTCCATTCATAACTGAAGCATAGTAAACAGCTGAGGCTACAGAGATGGAAATTGAAGGATGTGTCCTCAATGTCCTTCTTTTTCTCAAAGGTGAAACATCAAAGGTTTGTTTAGACCCCTGATATCTCACCAAAGCCCCAATGGGGCTCTAAAAAAAAATAAAAAATAATATTGTAAAAAAAATGTAATGGTAAAAAATAAAATAACAATATAAAAAAACTACTGACACCAGTGGTGGAACTACCAGAGTCGCAAAGATTGCATCAGCCTGTTTGAAATCACTCATGCAGGTTGCATAGGAACCAGACTGCAGATGGGACATGCAGTCCTAGACACAAACTGCCCCATTTGATGTTATTGGGAGAAAACTACAGCCTCCTGGATGCCCTGCTCAAGGAGGAGAACCCAATGAGCTCAGGGAAGAAAGCTCTGGGTGGAGTAGCACGGGATAGATGGGAGAGGAACTATGCTGCCAAGACTACAGGGGACAGAGTACAGAGAAGACTGTGCTGTGGGATGCCAGAGAGGGAAAGAACCACTCTGCCCAGCACCACCAGAGAATGAATGAGCCACTGCCGGGGTAGGGACTTGCTACTCTAAGGACCAGAGTTTCCCAGGGCAACCCAGAGTGAGTGACCGTCCAACCAAACCAAATCACTGCTGTGTCACTGGGTCTGGTGAGAGGGCCTTACACTCATTGCTTGCTATTGCTGTCATAGAATGAGCCTGTAGGAACTGCCTAACCTGCTATCCTATAGCCCTAATACTGCCTGTAGGCTTTATTTTTTCCCATAAATTTTTATTTGGTTTTACAAATATAGTTACAACAATAAAAAAAAACAAAAACAAAAATAGGACAGTGAAAAAACTACACAATATCACAGTATAGGTGCTGCGGTAATGTTTGACAAAGAGAAAAAAGGAAATATTGACTAATTCCTAACAATCCTACTACAGGTGAAACTCGAAAAATTAGAATATCGTGCAAAAGTTCATTTATTTCAGTAATGCAACTTAAAGGTGAAACTAATATATGAGATAGACTCATTACATGCAAAGCAAGATAGTTCAAGCTGTGATTTGTCATAATTCTGATGATTATGGCTTACAGCTCATGAAAACCCCAAATCCACAATCTCAGAAAATTAAATATTGTGAAAAGGTGCAATATTCTAGGCTCAAAATGTCCCACTCTAATCAGCTAATTAAGCCATAACACCTGCAAAGGGTTTCTGAGCCTTTAAATGGTCTCTCAGTCTGGTTCAGTAGGAATCACAATCATGGGAAAGACTGCTGACCTGACAGTTGTGCAGAAAACCATCATTGACACCCTGCATAAGGAGGGAAAGCCCCAAAAGGTAATTGCAAAAGAAGTTGGATGTTCCCAAAGTGCTGTATCAAAGCACATAATAGAAAGTTATGTGGAAGGGAAAAGTGTGCAAGGCAAGGTAGCAGGCAAGGCAGCTGGCACAGGCTATCAGGTGGAGCAGCGGGCACCTGGCCATCAGGCGTAGCAGCGGGCACCGGGCCATCAGGCGGAGCAGCGGGCACCGTGTCATCTGGCAGAACCGCGGGCACTGGGTCACCAGGCGGAGCAGCAGGCACCGAATCATCTGGCATGACAGCGGGCACCGAGTCATCTGGCACGACAGCGGGCACCGAGTCATCTGGCAGAACCGCGGGCACTAGGTCACCAAGCTCGACAGCAGGCACCGAGTCATCTGGCGCGATAGCGGGTACCGAGTCATCTGGCACGACAGCGGGCACCGAATCATCCGGCAAGACAGCGGGCACCGAGTCAACTGGCAGGACAGTGGGCTCCAAGTCATCTGGCAAGACAGCAGGCACCGAGTCATCTGGCAAGACAGCGGGCACCGAGCCATCTGGCACGACAGCGGGCACCGAGCCATCTAGCAGAACCGCGGGCACTGGGTCAGCATGCTCGACAGCGGGCACCGGGTCATCAGGCATTGGATCGTCTGGCTTGACAGCGGGCATCGGGTCATCTGGCATCAGGTCATCTGGCTCGACAGCGGGTACCGAGTCATCTGCATAATAGGACCATCAGGCTGGGTAGACACATCAAGCTGGGTAGGGTACACTGGGTCATCGGGCATGGTTTTAGTTACTGGAGCGCAGGAAGTAAGCGCAGGTTTTTAAGTGGATAGAGCAGCTGTAGGCAGAGAAGAGCTGACGGATGGAACAAAGGAGGGAGCAGTTGCTACAGAGGGCTTCTTTACAGGGTTAAAGATAGGATAAGTGCAGCGAGTGGGAGCAGGGGACTGATATGTGGTAGTTAGCAGAGTATACTGGGCACTGGGTGTGCTGTTGGGGATGCAGGAAGAGTGCCTTGAGCAGAGGAATGATGTTGCAAGCTGACTGAGGCTGGGTGCAACAAGTCTGAGCATGTCTGCAGTATGGGTTGAACAAAGCTCAGCTTACACAAAGCCTTTCTGGTCAAAGACGGCACTGCGTTTATACAATCTCTTAGCACCTGTTGTGAACATGCAGAATAACGCTCCAAAAAGTAATCCACATCATCCTCCAATAACCACACCAGGGACTCTACCTGGTCGGCACTAAATGGTGGCAAAAATTCATCCTTGCATTCGGGGGTACCAGATGAACCCAACTCTGCACAAACCTGAATCAATGGTTGCACCTCAGAGAACTCTGTGCCCTGATCTACTAGGCAATGAGCGATCCTTATGCATTCTAGTAGTTGATCCCTGGTATACTCCTTCAGAGTATATGGGCACTCAAGAAGAAACCCCAGGACACCTTCACTGAATGGGGACATCAGTTACAACACGCTGCCCGCAGCTGGGTCCAAGGGTGTCAGATCACCAAGCTAGAGGAACTGTTGCAACTGCTGTTACTGGAGCAGTTTTACAATAGACTTTCAGGGGATGTTAGACATTGGGTCCGGGACAGACACCCCCTAACTTTAGCCGACGCTAGTCATTGGGCAAATGAGTACCTGGACAACAGGAGGCTAACCGAGCCCGCCATTCCCCCTGCACCTTGTCCACAACCAGTGGTGCCCACTCTGGTCACCTGATAATGCCTCAGACCACCCACACCTTCTGACCCAAAGCAGTCTGGCCCATGCTGTTATGGCTGCAACCAAGCAGGGCACATCCGCATTTTCATTGCCCCTGGAATCCACCAAGGCCCCAGAGCAGCCAACCCCCTCGGGGCACTTCCAACCGACCCACCACTCCCTATGGGCGAGCCTCTGCCTACTCCCTACAGGACCACCCCAGTAACACCGCCTCTTCATGGAGGAATTTTACCACCGAGGATGAGGACACCGGGGTCTTTCATGAGGCTAACCCTCTCCAGCCTGCCACCCCGGACAATCGCCAACATCACCAACAGGTTGTCCATGTTAACGGCCATCGGGCCCAAGGATTACGGGACACTGGGCCACACTCACCCTAGTCCAACCTCAACTGCTACAAGACTGGGCCAACACCAGGCGGTCTGTGGCCATACGGGTAGCGGGAGGCCATGTCTACCGGATTCCTACCACAAGGGTTCATCTGGACTGGGGGGCCAGGGCCAGGGACGTTGAAATTGGAGTAATGCAGAACTTGCCAGCTGAGGTTCTTCTTGGAAATGATCTGGGAGTCCTGGTCTCCACTTTTGGCATCAAGACCCCTGCTGAAGCTCATCCAGTCACCACTCGCCACCAAGCTAGAGAGCATGCTGCCGCTCCACCTGCCGAGGTTCTGGTAAGAGTCGAATACCCACCCCCTGCTGAGCTTGTCCTCGCCCTGACCTGGGATTCCCCTGCTGATTCTGCTAAAGAAACAGCCAGTGACCGGACCTTAGACCCCTATAGACAGAGGGCTGGAAGTGATCCTGGGGGGACTGGGAGATGTGAGGTATGAGTGGGACCAGGGCAAGTTATACAGGGTCCACGAAGTAGCAGGGGTGGGCGCTGCCGAAATACCTCACCGGCAGATGGTAGTACCGCGGAAATATCGGCGTGACCTCCTCCAGATTGCGCATGATATTCCCCTTGCTGGGCATTTGGGCAAGCGAAGGACCCTGCATCGCTTAACCCAGAGTTTCTTCTGGCCAGGAGTATCGGGGGGACGTTCGGGACTACTGTCGGTCTTGTGAGGTCTGCCATAAAGTAGGGAAGCAGGGAGACAGGCCCAGGGCCACTCTGAGGCCCCTACCCATAGTCGGGGAACCTTTCAGTCGTATCGCTGTGGACCTAGTGGGACCCCTGAAACGGCCTAGTCCCACAGGCAAGAAGTATATCTTGACCATTGTCAACTATTATTATTATTATATTATTATTATACAGTATTTATAAAGCGCCAATAGTTCGCTCAGCGCTGTACATTACAAAGGGGGACAGAACATGTGACAGAACAATAACAATACAATGCAAAACATGAGGGGATTGAGGGCCCTGCTCTTTCGAGCTTACAGTCTAGGAGGGAGGGGATGGTGGCACAGGAGGAGATAGCTGTGGGGGATGGAGTGGTAGGAAGAGTGGAGGAGGTCGGCAAGTTAGCAGGGGGTGGGGTAGGCTTCCCTGAAGAGATGGGTTTTCAGGGTGCACCTAAAGGAGAGGAGAGTAGGTGATAATCTGATGGGTTGGGGCAGGGAGTTCCAGAGGATGGGTGACACCCTGGAGAAGTCCTGGAGGCGGGCATGGTAGGAGAAGACCAGGGAACTAGAGAGAAGGAGGTCTTGTGAGGAGCGGAGTGTGCGTGCTGGGCGGTACTTGGATATTAGGTCAGTAATGTAGTTCGGGGCAGTATGGTGGACAGCTTTGTATGTCAGCGTTAGGATTTTGAATTTGATCCGTTGCGCAATCGGAAGCCAGTGGAGGGATTGGCAGAGGGGGGTGGCAGAGACGGAGCGGTTGGAAAGGTGAATGAGTCTGGCAGCCGTATTCAGGATCGACTGAAGCGGGGATAGCCAGCGGCGAGGCAGGCCAGTGAGGAGGGAGTTGCAGTAGTCGAGTCGTGATATGATGAGGGAGTGGATGAGCTGTTTTGTGATGTCTGGGGTTAGGAATGTGCGGATTTTGGCGATGTTGCGGAGGTGGAGTCTGCACGAGTTTGTTAAAGATTGGACTTGGGGCTGGAAGGATAGGTTGGAGTCCAGAGAGGGAGTGAGAGGGAGGTGATAGCATTATGGGTAACGCTGAAAGAGCGTTGTGACAGGTAGGATGAGAGCCAGGAGAGCAGAATCTCTGAGGCGGAGGGAGTGTAGTTTTTTGAGGAGGTACCCGGAGGCCGTAGCGCTGAGAGATGTGCAGGCAGAAACAGTTGCTCAAGCCCTGCTGCAGATCTTTACTCGGGTAGGATTTCCTTGGGAGATCTTGACCGACCAAGGCTTACCCAACAACTTTGGAAGTTGTGTCGGATCAGACCGCTGTACAGCTCTCCCTACCACCCCCAGACCAATGGGCTCTGCGAACAGTTTAATGGTACACTGAAACAGCTCCTCCGAATGTTCACCATGTCCCATAAGGACTAGGAGCAGCATCTTCCCCACCTCCTGTTCGCCTACCGAGAGGTACCGCAGGAGTCCACTGGGTTCTCTCCCTTCGAGCTGCTGTACGGCCGGAGGGTTTCGGGGACCCCTGGATCTCCTACGCGAACACTGGGAGGGAGCAGTGCCGAGGAGGGGACCTCGGTGGTGGCCTATGTGCTGGAGCTCAGGAAGAGGCTACAATGGTTGATGACCCTAGTACGGGACAAGCTTGAGGCCCGCCCAGAGCCGACAGAAACGGTGGTATGACCGGTCTGCCCGAGACCGAACGTTTCACTTAGGACAGAAAGTGTTGGCCTTGAAACCAGTCAGGCATGACAAATTACAGGCTGCCTGGCAGGGGCGTACTAAGTGGTGGAGCAACTCTGTGATACCACATACATTGTAGCTCGCGATGGAAGGATCCGGCAAACCTTCCATGTGAATATGCTGAAACCATTCATCAAACGACAGGAGGAGAGTGTAGCTGCTATTTGCGCTCCGGCTACCAATGACTCAGAAACGCTTCTTCTGCCGGGGCTGCCGGGGGACAGACAGTCCCAGCTGAGTGTAGCGGATGTAGATATCAGCACATGGCTGCCTCCCCAGGCCCAGGAACAGGCCCGACAACTGCTCCAAGAGCGCCGAGGGCTGTTCTCATCTCTGCCCGGTTACACCACCACAACTGCCCACCAGGTAGATACGCAGGGTCAGGCCCCCTGAAGCAGGCAGCCTACTGAGTGCCTGAGTCCATCAGAGAAGGGATGAGAAGAGAGATTAAGGAAATGTTGGATTTAGGTGTGATAGAACCCTCTGACAGTCCCTGGGCCTCCCCAGTAGTCCTGGTACCCAAGAAGGACGGAACCTCCCGGTTCTGTGTGGACTACCACAGGCTCAATGACCAGACCGTGACCGATGCATACCCCATGCCCCGGATAGACGAGCTGCTGGACCGAATGGCCATAGGTAATTTTCTTACCACTATCGATCTCTGTAAGGGGTACTGGCAGATTCCGCTGGATGCGGACACGGTACCAAAGTCGACATTCATCACCCCTTTCAGCTTGTACCAGTCCAGGGTCATGCCGTTTGGGATGACGAACACCCCGGCTACCTTTCAGAGAATGGTAGATAAGCTGCTGGATGGGCTGCAGGACTTCCCCTGTGCCTATCTAGATGATATAGCTATCTACAGTGATAGTTGGGAGGATCACCTCCGACACCTCCGGGAAGTGCTTGATCGCATTGGGCAAGCAAGGCTGACCATCCGACCTGACAAATGCCATGTTGGGGTGTCCGAGGTCCAATATCTAGGACATTGGGTAGGATGTGGGAAGCAACGACCCGCACCGGCAAAGGTGGAAGCGGTAGCAAATTGGCCCACCCCCCGAACCAAGACCCAGGTCCTTGCCTTCCTAGGCACTGCGGGGTACTACCGTAAATGCATCCCCAACTACCGCGTCATTGCTAAACCCCTAACGGATATGACCCGGAAGAATCTGCCCCGACAGGTTGTGTGGTCCCCAGAGTGTGAAACGGCTTTTCAAAAGCTCAAACATGACCTGATCCATGCTCCCGTTTTGGCTGCTCCTGACCTTTCCAAACGGTTTTGTGTT